AATAAACTGTACATTAAACCAAATTTGCTGATCTATTCTCTTAACGCTACAGTCCATCATTTGCAGCTATGCAAAAAGTAACTGACGTTATTATTGTTGAAAAACATACTTGGTTGAACGATAGTAAGGGGACTAAACTCCCTGTGAAATTATTCTTTCTGGCAAGCTGTCATTTTGAAGAAATCAACGAAGGAAGGCCTTTCCAACGGTGCGTCTTAAGACGCACCGTTGGGAAATTTCCATTAGTAGCTTGTTTTTTTTATTCCGCGATGCGCGCGCAAGCGTAGACACGACACACACGCATGCGCGGTTGCTATAATTCGTCAGATCGGTGCGCGACATCGCGTAGCTGCAATCGGCTCAGTGAGAACATGTCTCGGATGCTGAATTCAGGCCCAATTCAAAACATGATTCAGCAAAGTCCTCTTTTGATTTGAAATGGAGATCCTAGAATGCTGTTTTTCGCGGAATGTACAGCTGAAGCTGAGCTGAAACTTCATCAGGTTAGTTGTTCAGCACCCTTCTTTAGATTTTGAGCAAGTTTGGTGCTTCAAATGAACAAAGTGCACAAATTACAAATGATGAACTGTACCTTTAATGTCTAGTAAAAAAATGAATAAATGGAATAATAAAATGTGTTAATTTTTTTTTTCAATAGATGTACCGGTACACATACATGTACCGGTACATGTACTGGTGTACATTTTTTTCCTTTAAAATATGAATGCCCATTGATGCTTACATGTTTTTGTATGTTCAAATGAAATGATGAATGTTTACATACATGTAGTGTACAATGTATACGTCGCAGGTTAGCATGGTTAGGGTACATCGTACATTATGTACCGGTAAGTCAAATAATTAAAAAAAGGAACGTTGGGATAAGTTAGAACTGTTCTCTGGAAATGGAACATCACCATATAAAAATTACTGAAAAACATACAAACTGTGTAAGTCAATAAGATCTGTGCATACATGTAATACACATACATTAACTACACTGTACATCATTCATGACATTGTACGTGTTTGGTGCACGCTACTAAATGTTAGACATTTTTTACACTTTTACTGCACATACCGGGGGAACTTGTGTGTGAGCACACTATCTTGCCCAGTTGAATGTAAATGTAATCAGTAATCACCATAACAACAATTCTACCCATAATTTAAAGAAAAAAAAATTGTCATATTTTTTGCACCTTACTGGTACAATGTACATTTACATGTAATTGGATTATGTTCACCATGACAAATTGAACTGTAACAAAATGTCTTCTTTTTCTTTTTCTGTTAATTTTTTTGTTATTATTTTATTTTTTTTGCACCCAGTTTCATCCATCTTGTTCCCTTAGCCCCAACCATATGGTTAATAAAGCCCCTAGCGAGCCATGCACATTATACCCCGATGGACGTGATTGCATCACATCGGTTTATTCAAGCTTCTCCACTGGGCAAACATAATACAGCCAGGATGCAGGGTTGCCTAGCAACTGAACGGGGAGGGTTTTTTTCTGGTTGCCAGTGACGTCAATGGGCTGTACGATAGCACTGGCAAGTGGCCATTGGCCTGAGGGGAGTTTGAAGTGCCGGTATGTTGTAAACCTACATGTGCATGCGTGTACATGTGCATGCGTGTACATGTGCACATGTGCATACATACACATGTACACGTACGGTACGTACATGTACATGTACGTGTACCGTACATGTACATGTATGTATGCATGTACACGCACATGTCTTGTACATGAACATGTATACATGTACATACATGTACATGTGATCTGATACACCGTACCCTCTGGAGACGTGCGTACATGTACAATAGGGAACAAAAGGTTGCACATGTACAATAATGTACATGTACGTCGTATCTCCACAGGGCAATTTCTATAGATGAATACATATCCACAAGGTTTTCACAATGGATTTTGCTAAAAAACTACGAATTTCCAAGCTACATGTATGTTGATTTGTCGCAAATGGAAGAGTTTTAGAAAAGGGATATTACATGTACATGTAAGTCCAAATTTCAGCCAAGGAAATTAATTCTAGTTAAAATAAGAGCATTTTTAAACTACATGTACCGGTACACTTTCAAACTCGAAAACTTTAGTACACGAGAACAAAGGAACGTCTCCACAAGGATACAAATTCCAGTACATGTACATGTATGTGAGTATGTGCATAGCACTCACTCATGTTTTACAAAATGTACTATACTCCCGAAGACAATGCTTTGTGTTTCCCTTTGTCCCTGTAATATAACACTCTCTCATAGACCAAGCACACGAACCTACTAAAGAGGACCGTTTTGAACAAAAACCTCCCAAGGACTGAAAGGATCGGTTGTTCTCCCTTTGTGTGTCTGTCCTCGGGGGTTACGTAGAACACGTTCACACGTACATTTTTTTGTATGTACATGATGTATCGGTACATGTTCATGTTTGCAAGGTATTTTTTTGAGAGGGTTAAATTCAGTTTACATGTGTGGTAACATGTACTCACATGCATTTTTTAAAATTTATATTATAAATTGGAAATAAAAATTGCCAATAGAAGATAAACAGTAGTTGAGTGTTGAATCGGACTCAAAATGTAGCACTCGGTATCGTAAACCATAACCCTCTCAAAAATCCACTGGCGGTTTTGTATGCCTCTTTAAAATCACTCAATGCAGTAGTCCAGCCGACATGTGGATCCTCAACCTCGGCTCATGTTCTCCATGTTCTTGGGGCTGATCAATCCTCATTTAATTAGGGAAATGTTGTTTCTCTGCCACGCAGGAATTTGCAAAGCAAATGAGGCAAAATTCGTTCCAACCTTTCTGCATTGTACTTCATAATCTCCTGGCTCAATGCGCTGGGGGGAAGAAAAGTCCAATTATTGGCAGGTGGGGAAACAAAAGGAGTTCCAAGGAAAAGTGCAAATTGTGTTGAGAAAAATCTTGCAAGCTTAAATTGTTGGAGTGCCAATTATGCTAATTAAGGCTGTGCAACTGCATGTAATGTTTTAGTTGAGTAGTTGTGTGACAAAAACCTACCAACTAGTCGCACACATCTGCAAAGGATGTGATTAGGCCACAAAAAAAAAGTCTCCGGTTTCTGGTATGGAGCTTGCCCAAAAAGTGGTGCGGCGGCGCGGTTTTTTTTTTTTTTTGCCTGATTTTTTGCTTCAAATGTCGGCTGATGACTGCGAATGGTGCCCGACTAAACTTAGTGCAAATATATGGGAGTCCAGAGAGGCCACATAAAGCTTATTCTCGACCATAACCCAATCTAAAAACACGTTAAAATTGTGCAGCAGCAGGATTCCAGTCAAACCAGTGAGTTTGGCGGTTTTGAGACATCATCTTTCATTGAAAAAAAAACCTTTTTTCATTTTGCCGACGCGCATGGCTACGGCGACGCGCGCGCATACCAGAAACCGGAGTCTTTTTTTTTTTGGCCTTACGTTTAATTTTGTAAACGTTTAGCAAATAGTTATGATAGTTATAAAACCATTTAAACTAAACATTGTGTCATTTCACAAAGGCTTTTATGAAGGCCTGCCCATTATGTCTGCAGACGGGTGTGATTGACATGATCAATCAACAATGATTGACATCATACATTGTGTAAATAGGCAGTCATTGAGAAAATGTAAAAAATTAACTGCCTGTACCCCGGATGTAATCAAATACAGTCGTGCTGCTCAGGTTTTGCACAAATTAAACAGGTTTGAATACATTGTTAATTATTTGTGTTATAAATATACCGACCGGTACGTATACATGTACGCATGTTTAACTCAAAGGAACGCGTGTGAAGGTACATGTACAATATGTACATGTACCGGTAGACCTGTCCCTTTTTTTGTAATGACTAGTGGATTCTGATGGACTCAGGACACCAACATTTTTTTGCATTCATTTTGGCGGATTCAGGATACTTTCTAGTAAAAATACCCAAGGGGTTTTAAGGGTAATATTTAGGCCAAAAAAAATAGTTCTGCTTCCGGTTTCCCTACCTACCCTATTCTGACAGCCCCTACCCTAATTTTTTTATGGGAAAAATGAGAAAAAAACACCCAAAACCATTAATTTCTACCTTTTACCCTTGACTACATGTACGCGCAGACGCCTCCATATCGTACACACACAAAATTGAAAAAAAAAAAAAAATTTCCCTACCTACATGTACATGTACCTACCGGTACCCTATTTTCAAATGCCATGTAATCGGAAGCAGAACTATTTTTTTTTTGGCCTTACCACAATTTATTTCTTACGGGAAATAACCTCTGATTAACCCTAACCACCCTGAATCCATCAAAATCCGTACCCCTGTTTTGGAGTATCTTGGCAGATTCAGGATACCTATATTGAAACAAGGGGATTTTGATGGATTCAGGATTGTAAGCTTAGCGGTACTGCAGGATTTTGATGGATTCAGGATACCTCCATACTGAGCAATCACCAACACCGAAATTTGTGTGCATGACCCAAACGGGGATTTTGGCGGATTCAGGATACTTTCTAGTAACTTAGGTGCTTAAGGGGATAGGGTCCGACACAGCTGGGTCTACAGTATGCATGCTAAGTGTATCGTACATGTTTTACAAGTACATTTTGTCAGACTCATCCAGTTCCTTGGAGACCTTTAGAATTTTATTCCAGATTCTAAGGATTATGGAAAATTGTGTTTGATGAAAACCATTCAAATTGAAACATTCTATCAATTCCAAATTTACGTCATTGATCTTCCGATAAATTTTCCCCGTGAAAGTCACTTCCCAAAAAAACACCATGACAAAAAAAGTGAAAGTCACTTCCCAAAAAAAACACCATGACAAGTCGCTGATTATAAAAAATAGAGATCTACAATGTACTGGTATGTATGCTACCGGTACATACATTGTCGCCCTAGTCGCACAGCACTAATTGTGTTCAAATTTTGTGGGGCACTTTCTGTAAAAGCTGTCATTAAAGAAGGTACATATTTATTTTATAATTGCAGGCGTATACGCATGTGTCACAATGAGGACTATTAAATATTATTGATGGAATGAAAACAAGGAGAAGCAAAACAAAAGGTTTGTACATTAATTTTTTTTTAAACCAAGGTTCTTGTTCTTATACAGACTTATCATGCTTTAATACTGCAAACAAAATTATAAGCCATTTTTTTAGGTTGAGCCAGTTTTTCCCCTGCCCATTCAAACGTGAGGCGGCCCACCTCGCTACTTTCAGTGACCACCTCGCTTAATTTTTGCCAATATCACCACCTCGCTGTGAAGATTTACAATAAAGGAAATACATGTACTTTTCGAAAAATTTACATTTTGTGTAACTTATGAGCATTTTCCTTGATCTCTGTGTATCAAGAATTCACAATTTGGATGTGTACATGGAATAAACAGGTATTTTTGTGATCGCTGCATTCTTTTCAGTTTGCAGACTACGTACATTTTGTTTCAATCATCAATTTGAATTTTTACCACCTCGATTAGTTCAATAGCCAGGGGAAACACTGGGTTGAGCCACTTCTGCGCATGCCGCATATGCTCATTTTCATGCATGAGTGTGCCGTGTACCGGTATATGTAATTTCTGGACATGCTGGAAGGAGTAGTGTTGAGAATAAAACAAATCAAGTTTTTGACCAGTGACCCCATGATGACCTTTGGACCCAGTTTGGTCACGTGACATGTTGGGCCTGGGCTACTGATACTTTTGACAAAGTTTGGTTGAAATCGGTCAGAATACATGTACACATGTACATTGTGTACGTGTACATGTAGGAGCAGTAGACAGTGTCAGCGTTTGTAATACTACATGTAACTGCCGGTAACTAACGGACTAAAGAAGAGACATGAGGATTTACAGGCATGCAACTTTTCCTCGGATAAGCTGATTTCCTCTTTTTTTATTTCCCATGTGTGCCATTGAAAATAGAAAAACACTGTACAAAGTCTGGGAAAAATTTGAATTTCCTCTTTTTTTTGTGATTTCCCAGTTGCATACCTGGATTTATCCCACAGCTAAAAAGTGAATGAACACGTATACATACAGACATGTACATACATGTATGAACAATACGCAAAAATATGATTTCATTAAAAAGGTCAAAACATTTGCTTTGAGTTTGCATTTCGTGGGCGTCTTATCCCTTCATGCTTTATTCATTATGGACATTGTAACCATATCGTGTTCTCGTACCACTTTACTCGTCAGGAATTTGTTTAATGGCACCGAAATGAGGTCGAGTAGCTAGCATCGGAAATCCAGCCCTACTGACAACACTGTTTGAATTCCGTGAGTATATTTACAAATCCTGGCTCCTCCGATGGGAAAGTCTGTTCCGGGCTTTGGCGACTTTAGGCCAAAAAAAAAAAGGCTCCGGTTTCTGGTATGCGCGCGCGTCGCCGTAGCCATGCGCGTCGGCAAAATGAAAATTTTTTTTTTTCAATACAAGATGATGTCTCAAAACCGCCAAACTCACTGGTTTGACTGGAATCCTGCTGCTGCACAATTTTAACGTGTTTTTAGATGGGGTTATGATCGAGAATAAGTTTTATGTGGCCTCTCTGGACTCCCATATATTTGCACTAAGTTTAGTCGGGCACCATTTGCAGTCATCAGCCGACATTTGAAGCCAAAAAAAAAAAAAAAAAACAGGTAAAAAAAAAAAAAAGACGCGTCGCCGCACCACTTTTGGGGCAAGCTCCATACCAGAAACCGGAGACTTTTTTTTTTTGGCCTTATACTGAACTTGTAGATTTTGTGACTCAAAATTTTAGAGGAATGTTGTGGCCAACAAATTCGCTTCCAGAGACACTTTTAAACATTTTACAATGTGTTTAAAAAATGCCTTTTTTGGCAAGATTTGAACACCATGCCCATACGGCATATGTTTGTATGTAAAAAGAAGGAACATACTAGTTCAGTCGGAAAAGGGGGGTATCGTGCACCCTCGGAAATCAATTTCTAATCAACGTGTCTAGGTCAGAAAAAATGCGTAGAAAACGATTTGCTATGTTAAAAAATTCAAAAAATGTCCCACGTATTGTTTTTATGCAAATTAGTGCCGCCATTACCGAAAAATCTATTTTTAATTATATCTCAGCCAATATTGCTGATAACTGAACGAACTAGGTGTCTAAACCTATGTTTTCAAGGTCAGAGATCACAATAAAACTATTTTGGAAGTGACCACATGTGTCTGTGGCATAGGAATATGCAAATTAGTGCCGCAAATACCGGAAAGTTATGTTTTTGGCATATCTCGGCCAATATAGCACATAACTACACCAGTAAGGTGTCTAAACCCATGTTTTGAGGGTCAAGTATCATTAGAAGACCATTCACGAAGTAACTATGTGTGTCTTTGGCATGAAAATATGTAAATTATAAAGTGTCGGTTTATCAGATATTTGATTTTTAGCCAATATCTCGGCCAATATTGCACATAACTACACAAGTAAGGTATCTAAACCCATGTTTTGAGGGTCAGGTATCATTAGAAGACCATTCACGAAGTAACTATGCGTGTCCTTGGCAGGTAAATATGTAAATTCAAAAGTGTCGATTTATCGGAAATTTGATTTTTAGCCAATATCTCGGCCAATATTGCAGCTAATGTTGACAGAAAGGTTTTTGATAAGCAATAATGATCAAAGTTTATTTTAAGCCATCATATTTAAAATAAACTGTACTATTGGCTGAAATTGAATATAATATTGGCTAAAAATCAATTTTTTGATAAACCGGCAAATTAGAATTTACATATTTTCATGCCAAAGACACACATAGTTACTTCGTAAATGGTCTTCTAATGATATCTGACCCTCAAAACATGGGTTTAGACACCTTACTTGTGTAGTTATGTGCAATATTGGCCGAGATATTGGCTAAAAATCAAATATCTGATAAACCGACACTTAATATTTTACATATTTTCATGCCAAAGACACACATAGTTACTTCGTGAATGGTCTTCTAATGATACTTGACCATGAAAACATGGGTTTAGACACCTTACTGGTGTAGTTATGTTCTATATTGGCCGAGATATGCCAAAAACATGATGTTCCGGTATTAGCGGCACTAATTTTCATATTCCTATGCCACAGACACATGTGGTGACTTCCAAAATAGTTTTATTGTGATCTCTGACCTTGAAAACATGGGTTTAGACACCTAGTTTGTTCAGTTATCTGCAATATTGGCTGAGATATAATTAAAAATAGATTTTTCGGTAATGGCGGCACTAATTTGCATAAAAACAATACGTGGGACATTTTTTGAATTTTTTAACATAGCAAATCGTTTTCTACGCATTTTTTCTGACCTAGACACGTTGATTAGAAATTGATTTCCGAGGGTGCACGATACCCCCCTTTTCCGACTAAACTATACCGGGTATTTGTACTAAAACAAAAGTTGTATGTAGTTCTAGCAACACCTTTGAAGTTATCCACTGCTAAAAATGATTTTTCCCCCGTTGTTTTAAGAAATGAAGTCTTGTTTAGTACAAACTCTCTTTATACAAAATTTAAGTTCTATTTTCTTTCCTCACTCCCTTGAAAAAGTTTCTAGGAAGTGTGACAACAATTTTTTTTTAGAATAAGATTTTTATTCCAATTTCAAGAATACAGTTTTTTACAGTGATACTAATAATTAGCAAAAGCAAATTTGCAAAAAAAAAAACACCCATTAACCCTAACCCTCCCTCATCTGTCAAAATCCACCGAGAGACTTTGAAGGGTTTTGCAAAAAAATTTAAATTTAGGAAAATTCCCAACAAAAATGCCGAAGGTGGTAGCAATTAACGCATGTATTGTTTATTTGCAGTGATATCTTGTCTTGTGTTTTTCATTTACATTGTTGATATTCATACCGGTACATGTACAGTTGAGTCTTGTTAATTATACAAACTCGTTTGGACCTAGCCAAATTGTTTGTTATATCAGAATTTTGTATTAAGAGGAACATCAGTCCCATTCATTGTGCACATAAATGCACACTCGGGACTAAGGCTTATGTTTGTTATAACCAGAATTTTGTATAAAGAGAGTTTGTACTAACGAGATTCGACTGTACATATGTACACTGTACATTGTACCCTTTTAACAAATTGTGTCCTTTTACATGTAAAAAAGGAATTTTAACCACAGCACTCCCAAAGGAAAATGCAGCGAATTTGACAACAAAAGGGTTAAAGTCCTGTTGGCTTGCCGAAATCATTTTAATGCCATTAAGAAACATGAAACATCGCATAGATTGTGCTGATATAATTACATTTATCGTAGCCTCGCCAGCCACGCGATAAAAGCAGTGAAAGAACTGCCACGGCGCACTCGCTTTCAGTAAAAGTGTTTCTTATACAGAGGGTTGTTTGAGAAAAGCAGTGATGTGCATAACAAATGGGCGCCCATTAGTAAAACTAATCGGCGGGGCTTTTGCGTCAGTTATTTTCATTAGTGATAATTTTTTTTCCGGCTCGTTTGATGAAGAAGGGGGATGAATAATTTAAATGAGCTGTGTGTTAGAATCAGACTGTTTCAAAGAATTGAATTTTTTTTTTTCTTTTTGAGTTGTACTTTACACCACATAGTACATTGTAGGGGAAAGCGTACACTACATGTACATGTACCGGTACATACTTTTCATTTCATTTCAACATGGTTTATTAACAAATCATGAATGGCAGCCACAGCTGAATTGCACATGATTTACATTTAAAAAAAATACATTTTAAAAAAAGTTAAAGGCCTACCGAGTTAAAAAACAAAATATGACATTAAATACTAATATTAGAAAAGGTTTAAACATTGTGCATACAGATCTGACTAAAGAAAATTGTCTATATAGAGAAATACATATTATTGTTACAGACTGTGTTGCAATCAATTTATCTTACTTTAAAAAGGGGGCATTGAAATTGCATTAAAACTTATAAAAGACATTCAAAAAGGTTGCAGGTAAAACATTTATAGTTTCATTTAGGATTAGAATTATAAAAATGAGCCAGATGAGGAATGAGTTTAAAAATTGTGCAAGATGTGTGGCAGTCAAATTATCTTATTTAAATGAAAGGTAGTATTAAAATAACGTTAAAACTTGTAAAATACAGTAAAAGCTTGCAGTTAAAAATCAATTCATACGTTCACAAACATGTGTGAGTGTGAAGATGACCAAAGAAATTGACTGCAGGGAGAATCGAACCTGTGACATCTGGAACACCATATTGGTGCTGTACCATGTCTACCAATATTTTGGGGTGTTTTTTTTTGGTTTGGTTTGTTTGGAGAGAGACATGAAAGGAAAACAAATCCTGACTAAAATGTACCAGTACATTGGTACGTACATTTATTTTCTTTCCCCATGATTTGAGTACACGTATACATGATGTTTACATTGTACATGTACATGTACATATATGGTATGTGTACACTTTGTGACTACGGTACATGTGTACATGTACATTTTAAGTACATTTTATCATGTGTAAAAAAACGGTGCATACGTGTATATTCTACACAGTGTTTCTCCTGCCTATCCAAACGTGAGGCGGCCCACCTCGCTACTTTCAGTGACCACCTCGCTCAATTTTTGCCAATATCACCACCTCGCTGTGAAGATTTGCAATAAGGAAATTTACTAAATCGAAAAATTTACATTTTGTGTAATTTATGAGCGTTTTCCTTGACCTTTATGTATCAAGAACTCACAATTTGGAATGTGTAGATGGAATCATCACGCATTTTTTGTGAGCGCTGCATTCTTTTCAGTTTGCAGACTGCGTAAATTTTGTTTCAATCATCAATTTCAATTTTTACCGCCTCGCTCAGTTCATTAGCCAGGGGAAACACTGATTCTACATGTATACATTGTGTAGTAAATTTGTTATACATGTACATTGTACTGATGTGCTGAGATTGAAATTAAACACAAATTTACAATGTGTACCAGTCATGGCTGTAAAAACGCAACATACCGGTACATGCATATTATCACAATCAGTTTTGAGCAGCCAGACCCACATGTGCGTACATGTATGTTTCATTAGAACACACACGTTTAACTCAATATTTGTTCAGACAAATACATGTGTGTATATAAATTATCGGTACATGTGCATGTTTGCCATGTCTGACCATACAAAATTTCACTCTCCAGTTCTCAGTGTACTGTATATTTTGTACCAGTACATGTACAGTACACATGTACATGTACATGTACATGTACCCTACATTTATTACCACAACCAATTTACAGGTACACATGTGCATGTACAGTGTACTGTGCCGGTA